ACGCGGCCTGTGGGTGACTCGGCCCTTGGACGTTGGAGAGGATTATTCGGCCTGCGAGCTAGGATTGTGTGGTGTGCCATTGTGTGGAGACGCTGGTGGGATTGGTCGCAGAAATAGTGTGTGGATGTGAGTGATTTTCGCATGGAAGTGGTGAGAATTAGGAGGGGAGTGTGAAGAGTTCGAAGGAGGAGGAAGCAAACTCTCGTGGGTGGAGAGTCGTATCTGAGAGTGAAATTAGAGTGGGATATGATATTGAAGTGTAATCTGTGAGTGGGATCTGAGATTGAGGTGCGAAATCTGTGAGTGGGAGCTGAGATGGAAGTGCAAAATCTGTGAGTGGGATCTGAGATTGAGGTGCAAAATCTGTGAGTGGGAGCTGAGATGGAAGTGCGAAATCTGTGAGTGAGAGCTCAGATTGAAGTGCAAAATCTGTGAGTGGAATCTGAGATTGAAGTGTAATCTGTGAGTCGGATCTGAGATTGAAGTGTAATCTGTGAGTGGGATCTGAGATCAAAGTGGAAGATCTGAGAATGGGAGCTGAGAGTGAATTGAAATCTGAGACTAAAATCTGATAGTCGGGATCTGAATTTGAAACTGAAAAGGGAGAGTTGAATCTGAGAGAGGAATCTGGTGGGGTCTGAAGGTGGAAGATGAGAAATCGACACTGAAATCTAAGTAGGAATTGGGAGTGGGACTCTGAGCTAGGATAGACCACAGCGGCTGTGGTATTGAGAAAGTCACCCAGAGTTGGGTTAGATCTTTATGTAACAAAGAGCTTGTCTGCTTCTCTTGTGGAGATAGCAAACAGCAAGTTATTATTTTCAGTTCTGGATAATTTGTCTGTGAAAGAGCAAGTGTTTATGATCTCATTGTCTTGAATACACTTTGATCACATGGTTGAGATCAGAGAAGTTAGATTATGGGAGCTCAAACCCCCACCTGGACTACAAACGCTGAAGGGTGGGGAGTTTAGGCTCACAGCCTTCATTGAGGAGTTCGCGGGGACTAGGCTTTCAAGCTGAACCTTGTCAACAAATGTTTGTGTTTGTATGGAGTGTGGACTATGATTTTCTTTAGGTTATTTGGATTCAGATCCCTACACATATACATACGGAAATTGATGTAGAGACGACAGTAATCATGGCACGCAACATCGAACATCGTCTTGCCCTGCCCTGCCCATTTTCCCTTTCAAGATCTACAAAATCAAAAGAGCCATTCGCTCCATATCGTGATTCTTCCTCGAATTCAAAAACTCGTCGAGTCAAATCTCACTCTTAGCATTTTGCTATATTTTCATTCATCACCTCATCAACAACTGACTGCACACTCCATAAAAGTGCCTCTAATTGTCTCGTCTCGAACAGCAATTCTTTCCATCACCTTGAACCCACAGTATTCTGAAAAAACTTTATTAATAGCTTTTGATTCTCCCATGTGCCCTACTGTATGTGTTACTCTAAGTTTGTTACTTCAACAATCTCCGAACTCAAACAAATTGTTAAGAAAAAACTGTCGACAAAGTTAAAGAAGACTAAAGACTCGTCCAAATCTACGAAGTTTCAAACAACTGTCACAAACTGCAAGAAATGAACACCAAACCGAAACAACACTTTGCTACCAACTGGAAAAGTTAAAATTCGAGAAACATAGTGCCAAAACACTCAATCAAAGATCCAAAACTACAAAGAAATAAAGTGATACAGCTTCATGAGGAGGGCTACGTACACCAAGTAAACGCGAGGCTTTACTCCAAGTCTTATCGCAAAATACTCTCTGTACATGGCAAAAGCCGGGGTATGTAATCCTAGTCCATGCGAAGATCCTAGCTATTTATAGTTATGACTCGAGGTTACTCCTTAACTGGAATTAACCTCAACAAGAATTAACCTCAACAATTTAATATGTTTGTTTGAGTAGAATATACTCAATATAAAGATAAATTGAATTGTAGAAGACTGATAAAAGTTTTCACATCAACAATAAGTTTGTTTATGAAATGAATATATGATGTATTAGTACATAATGACAAGAGTAGCAATCCTTGTTTTTGTTGTTAATATTCAACATGTTATTAATCTACAAGGAGTGATATGGATGGTCATGATGACATTTGATTTCACCATCATCATCAGATTTAATCTCCTTATATATCTTAATCTGATACACAAAAATAGTAAAATGACATGTCTAGAAATCTCTCAATTTTTTATATTAGAGTGTTATCTTTTGAGTGATATTCTCAGTGGTGAACTAAGAACTTGACAAATAAATGTCCAGATTGGATGGAGTTTAGTGACTTTTTGTGCTCAGTTTCTAGTTTTATGGAACTTCCAGGATATCTTCGGCACATGTACCATCACTGCATCACAAAGATCCTAATTTGAAACTTCTAGAAACGTCTGCTTATAATGCAGAGATAGAGGTAAAAACAAAGACTCTGACATTATCCGGTAAGCACAAGTAAAACAATAGTTATCAAGCATCGTTCACAACATGATACTCAAGCTGCTGCTAAGGCACTTCAAATTATTCCAAGGTTCAACCATCGCCTCTGCAAGATTGGCTGGACCGCTTGGTAACATCTTATCATAACAACGTGAGCTTCATAAGGGCACTGCCTCCGTGCCACTGGAGTAGAAAGGGAATGGACATATATAATAAGCAGAAGTTTCTTCTAGAAAGCTTCGATATTTCCACAAACAATCTTTGAGCAGGAAAATTGTGGCTCGTAAACAATGAATCGCAGAAGAATCTTTTGAAGATCCTTTAGTGTTCGTTTAGTATCACTCATGTTTCTAAGAAATATCGAAGCTGCTTAAAATCCATAAATATTTTCTGCTTTCCACAAACAATCTTTGAGCAGGAAAAATGTGGCTCGTAAACGATGAAGCGCACGTCCGCACGACAACAAACCCGTCACACTTTTATCACACTATCTTCCTGGCCTCGGTCTCACATGCCAAATGTGAGGCCAGAAGAAGTATGGGCACAATTATGAAATGGTTTCTGTGCATTCCCATTTTTGCCTCACGCAAAAGGGGTCGGTGAAGATGAGTCCAGGCTTGCAACTTTTAATCGTCCGAACGTCGAAAGGAACATTTGTACCATGACACTTGTCGATGCCAAGCTTCGGTTGGAACTCCACACCGTCGATTCCAGCAGGCTTTACTCGAATGTGTAATATGAAGTAAGCTCCTCCAATCGTCCGCTCGATTTATCGATGACGATGAAGACGAGATTGCCAGTTCATACAAATCATGGCTCTTCGCCATTATCACGTTTTTACCTCATGGGCTTCGTTATACAGCAGATTTTATGGGATAAAACAACAGGGCTACGTGGGGTCCATAGGGCATCACAGTGTAAAATATTTTACACAACAGTTACTAAATCAAAATTTGATTAAATCAACTGAGTATCAAAGCACCCCATAAATCATCACTCGAATGGGTTGAAAAGATTATTTCTCATTTGAAGAGGATCGAGTGATGGGGTATTTGAATGTGGAATATGCTGATCGTATTGAGGAGTCAGTTGATTGTCTTCAATCTGGCTTATCGTGACATCATGTTGACGGGAAAGTGGTTTGGAAGTACTGTATACTAAGCATGGAGGGATTCAGCAATTGCATCATGAGGCTTATGGGTTTCGTGCCAAACGTGCTATTGTCTCATAAGAGCACTGAGTGGATTTTTGTTTGGTTCATTCGACTTGCTGCTGAAGTCAGAAGGGGAATAGTAGCGGAAATTAATCACATTCCACTTGCAGCTTTAGATTCACAAAATGCAGGATGCGCTTTCTTAATCATTAGCACTGGTCCCGAAAAGGGTCAAAGAACGGACGAACGAACCGAGCTCCATGTTTGGACTGTTCGGCGCGGTCATCGTTCTGCGCATGCTTTTCAGATCTTATGAAGAGTATGCAAATTTCCCCGCCTCAGCTCAGATTACGATTTGAGCTGTACAGCGTCCCTGCACTTATTCTCTCGGAACTAGCAACGAGAGAATAAGTGGCCCAAAAGTCGTGGAAGTGGAATGGTTTGCCTCTGAGCGAGTGGGTCAGCGTTGAGTGGATGTAAGCACTCGGTAATTCCTGTAAGTCCTGTGTCTCCATACCGGAACGCGCATGTGTTTCTCGGAGGACTCTGCTGAGCTGTTAGCTTGCTCCTGGAGCAGGATATGAAGAGACAAATCGAGGGAGGTGAAACCACCAAAAGTGAGTCCTAGTGAATTAGCTGTGAACGATGAAGATTCCACAAGTGACTGAGTGCAGCAGTCAAAATTTGAGCTAAAGGTGGCAGTAGAGACAGAGAGAGTCTCAAATCTCGAGTTGGTCACTGCAGCGTTGGGCCATTCCTGAAGCGGTTTAAGAGCTTGGTTGGTCCTCAGATTGCCGCAGCTCCAGTCCAGTCACAGTCGTGTTCATGATGCAGGGCCAATGGCATTGAAGCTCCCCGCTACAGGACGGTCACTGACATCAACAATGCGCAAGCATGCCTAGAGTCTGGGTGATGACGATGATAATGGATGGCTGGCTAGGACTCGCTTTCGCAGCCGACAGTACATAAGCAAATGCAATTTCTCTGTTTCTCTCGATCTCCCTCTGCTCGAGCCTAGAATTTGGATGCTGGCAATTAACACAACATTGACTTGAACCAAGTGCCCATGCCCATGCCCGGACTTTGTCACAAATTCTTCCGTCCAGATCAATTCATGAGCATGGAAAGTAACTGTTGTTGCATTGCAGTGCGCAAAGATTCCTTGTCCTCGTTCCTGCACCATATGCCTTGAAGCCTCGATCTAGTGTTTGGAAAATCATCGCAGTGTACATCTTTGATCTCAAACCAACCCACTTGAGTGGGGAGATCAATAGTGGGACTATGGCATATCTTTCCTTCCTCTGACCGGACATCATTCAACTGCTTCAAATCTCCAGTTGACGCAATCTCTGAGATTCGTCAACTTACAACAGACAGAGAAATTACAATCGGAATCTGAGCCAAACAGATCTTATTGCTTCGATAGACGGATCCGAATGCTTTGGCCCGTGTGTTTGTTTCATCAGTCGGTTCATCTACTTGCTTCATTTCAAGAGGCAATGTACTCCAGACAAGCAACACTCGGCAGGCATCACGCTTGCACCCCTGGGTCAAAGTTTGGAAAACTGCAGATCGTTAAAGACTCGAAACCAGAGCTCCCCAAGACAACAATACATGCAAAACAATGCAAATGCTGGTGGGAGAAACTTAGATGATACTGCGACAGGTGTATGAGGCTGTCAGCAATCCACCCCCGGCAGCGGGTTGGGTTCGGTTCGGTTGGGTTGATTTGCAACTAGGCATGCATCCATCTCTCTCTTCTCTCTGGTGAGATCAGGACCACTCCCCTGACCTCACCAGGGCTCGCCTGTAATTCAGAAACTACCCCCCGATTTGATTGTGAGGTTGAGCCTGGGGCTGACTTTCTCCACCGATGCCGTTGGACGAAGGAGCTCGATCTTTGAAACGCTGGAACAGCAGCAGCACCAGCTTCAAGAATCGGAGCACAAGACATTTCACCGACATAGGCGGGCTCTTGGAGGGAGGGATCAGAGGATGCTAGAAAGGAACAGTTCAGCATCGATACACTAACTCGTGACTGTCATTGTTTAAATGCTGTGATGATATATGTAATGATGTGTTCTCTCAATGTACGAGAATCGGTATCCCATACGAGATTGTTTGCCTTGAGGGGAGCGGAATCTTTCGTTGTCGTCGAGGCTCGACACACTGTCTACACCCAATGGAAACACCCTCCCTTTCTCTACCAGCTACATCCCAGAGCAGAGCAGACGAGACGAGACGAGACGAAGCCCCATGGCTACATCCCATCATCTGAGCGGTGCTCTCTGGCGTCGGGTGAGCCTCCCCTTCGAGAGCGAGAGGCTCCATGTGCAAGCAGTTTCTCGGGTGCACAAAAGTCCTTTGGCCCTAAGTGAATTGCCGCACTATTGAAGATCTTTTTTAAGATAACGTACACATGATGACCAGCTCCGACTCTCGGTGCAATCTCGGTACACTCAAGGCGGATTGTCGTACGTGGTTTTCCTTGATACTTGCGTTGGCTTTGCTTTCCACTACATGCACATTTCGATGTTATGCACTGAAGCGTATATCACATGCATCCGCTCTTTGTTAATGCGTCCCTGTTGCAGATGCAGCTGCTCCTCTACGTGATGCAAGGATTGTGACTTTGTACCGTATCGTCTTATTGTGCAAACCACCCTTCCCTAGACCACGCTTGCAAGAGGCAGAGCTCCAGCAAAATCAGCTCGCTTCTTCTTCAAGTCAATACGTTCAGTTCCAGCGGATCTGATGTTCCGAATAAGAATCTACCTTCAAATCAGAATCAGAAATAATGGCAGGTGCAACACCATCCTCTGCCCGAGGAACCACATCCAAATCACACCACTACTGTAACTGTGACCGTCAGTATAGAGGGATTTTACCTTCAGACGGGAATCAGAAACGAATCGCGGGTGCAACACTATTCTGCCCGTGGAACCACATCCAAAATCACCACCTCTGTAACTGTGACTGTCAGTTTAGACGATTGAGCACCACACGAAACCAAAACCAAAACGATGGACCAAAACGTCCTGCATTGTTAGCTGCTGGCAACTTGGCAACGCTTCGAGCCTTAGTGACAGAAGCATCTGGCCCCGTATTATTTCTTAATCCTACAAGCCTGCACTCCCAGCTTTCAACTCCACCGGGGCATGAATGTCCTTGACGAGGTCCACTCACGCACAAGCATACGTTGTATAGCTCAATTTGATTGAAGAGTGGAGGCGAATCGAAAGGAGGAGAGATTAATTAGAGAACATAATCAATCACAACAAAAGTCTCGAAGCCTGGTAACTAAAACTGATTGCAGCTTCTGCCTGAAGTTGCATATGTCTAGCATAGTATCAACTTCAGGCAGAAGCTACAACTATGTTAAACATGTGGAATGCCGATGGTAAGTAATGGGGGGCCAAGTAAATAGCAAAAAGGAGGGGACGACTCTATTATGATGGACGAGGATGAAACGATGAAACCAATGCTAACAGTCCAGATTTGACTTTTGCTCTCAACCGCTGACTTGAGAGACATCGGCAAGGGTGGTAGTGCGCGAGAAATGTTTGAGCCGAACACGAGAAACACATGATTCGTTCAATTCGAGCCTTGAAGACGATCCACCGTCCCTGACTGGTTGACCTGGGCTTGGCAAACGAGCATGTAACGCTGGCCACTGATGAAGCTTGACAGCTTATGGAACCAAGATAGAGTCGCATATGATGAGGTTGACTGTAGCATCTTGCAAGCCTCTTCGTTTCTCTCCACCGCTGCACCTGCACAAGTCGCATTACTACACCGCTGCTGCCGAGCTACAGCACAACGAAATGTAATCGGAAACGTCTTGCAATCTGAATCAGTGGCATCCTTTCGAGCAATCTTCAGACTAAACCCCCAACCAGTCGTTCTGAGACAGCGGACCGGTCACACATCCCTCCCTGGAAGGCATCCACTCGATGAGTCTCGTCATTCTGTAGCAGTCCATATTATGCTACCGTGATTCCAGGGAGTTCTTGGAGCTAGGCATTTCCGATAATAAGTTCAGAGAAGTTGCCCGAGTTCACCTTTTGACGAGATAAATCATCGAGAACGGTCTCTTCCAGGGGAGGTGTTTTTCTACTGGCAAGTTGGAACCGTACGAGCGTCTCTCTACCACAACACGCAGAGGATTGATAGACCAGCAGCTTTACGAGGTTAACTTGTTCGCAGGCCAACGCAGGCAGGCAACTAGATTGAGGACTCTCAATGAACGTGGCACTTCCACATCTTTGGCTGTACAGGTGAATACACGACAAAGAAAATGAAGACCTTCAAAGAATTTACATGAAGTATATAAAAACAAATACATATTCATTGTGTTTTCCTGAGAGATTTATTTGATGGGACCCTTGCGGAAAGTAATTTGTTTGATGTGACCCTTTAGGTTTCATTTTACCCTATGGGATCCCATGAACGATACACCGTTACACATGTTCTTATAAAAACTAGAGAGAGTGCAACGAGTCAATCGCACCCGCGAACAGAGTGGACTTCGCGCTCCATCACACTCACTTGTTTTTATGTTGTCATTCTGTATCCGACCATTCACCAAGAAGACTAGCAAAATGTTCATCCGGAGTTTATTTGTTCGCCAGATTTGGGTGATCGCGAGACTTGAGCTCGGACCACTTTCCGGTTCGAGCTCCTCGTCGTATAAGCAGGGTTACGGAAGGAGAGTGCACGCAGGGTTACGGAAGGAGAGTGCAGGTGGGAGGCAACAGAGAAATCCGCGAAGAATTGAAGCACAACAAATTACACTTCGATCGGAAGAATTGAAGCACAACAAATTGCATTTCGAGCAAAATCGTTCTTTATCTCCGTGATAATACATCAGAAATTATAATCAGTGATTGATCTCTGATTGTAATCCCCGCATTGTAGCCCCGCATTGTAGCTTGTAGTAATCGTAGTTACAAGAACTATGTCCGATGGGTCCCATCGGATAAAACAAAACCTGAGGGGTCCCATCAAGTACATTACTTTCCGCAGGGGTCCCATCAAGCAAATCTCTTTGTTTTCCCCGGACTTTACAACAAACAATCATGTGAACACCTCTAAGAAGAATTGAAACTGGACACATTTCACCGCACAGAGGACTTCCCTTTCTATGTTGATTCTAAACCTACTATTGGCTGAGACGCGCAAGAGCTAGTTCCGCTTTTGACACATCATTGGAACAGATGACTCTACAGATGGTACTCAGAAACAGTAGGTCACACTTCATTTGATCCCTGTTTCCCATCCGCCCTTCCTCACACTTGCTTTTCCTTCTTTCCTCAAGAACGAGTCATCCGTGGGGCATTTGGGCACTGGGCCTCCGAAAAATTTCAGTCTGATGAGTTGGTACTCTACGACACCATTGAAGCACTAGTAGTTTCACAGCTCTCTGTCGCTCTTTCCACCTTCGCGGTTTCAAGATGGCTGTAAGCAACGGCTTCATGGCCCAACGGGCATATGACCTCTGTACTTCACCTTTCCCTTGTCGATGAATGCAAAGTATCTCAAATCATATGCACTTTAACCATCGCTCTGTGTTACAAGTATTTTCACAGCATTCAAAATTCCCCTTAGTATTTCAGGAGCTAGGTATTTCCACTATACATCTCAGGTTATGCAGCAAAATTCTCTGATGGACTGCGACGCAATTGCACTGAGACAGAGAAGCACGAAGAAGTATCCATAGCCTGTTTCCCTTACCTCGCCTAGACACTACCACAGACATTTGCTTACAACGGGGAGTATTCTTCTTAAAACTCCACGGATTACGTACTTTAGAGCCGAAAGTAGTACCGCAGTAGCAGGGAATGAGCCGGTGAGAGTTCCATTGTAACTGAAGAGAAGCTGTGCAATGATGTAAAGCTTCCATCAGTCACTCCGCCCGGTCCGGCACTTAAGAGGACCCCTTCCAAAATTGACCTGTGATTGTCGTTGAAAGTAAAGAAAAAGGTGACCTCGCGCGCCATATTCGTTGTGGTAATTTCATGTACATGTAGAAATGCTAAACCGACGGTGTAACAATGACCTTTACTTTTATACCGTCGGTTTAACACGTCAGTTACACATATGCACATGCTTTTACTGGTGAGGGTAAGACTTTTAGAGAACGAAGCTCCTAATGTTCACTAATCGACATTTGTTTTCAGTGTGATATGCACTAGAATAAGCTGCTTCTAGTCATTTCCTTCCTTGTCCCACTAGGGAACTGAAACAAACAAGCAATTAACCAAGGGTTTCATCACATCAGTGAAACTCTCTTGAAACGTTGGAGATATTGCCCGGTATGATCAGATTATTTACAGTCAATTAAATCATACAGAACATAGATTTGACCTGTGATTGTTGTTTCTCTTCTGCACACAAAAAATTGCGATGCGTAGCATTCAGCGTACCTGGACTCAATTCTCGCAACGCTATCTATCCTAAGGTAAAGCAGAAGCTAGATACACGCAATCAAAAGAAGGAACGCGAAGCAGGGCCTTTAGCGAGACCCAATCGCACTTCCATGGCGTGGTGCATGTCGACGGGAACATAAGATTCCGACTCCAAAGGATCTGCTCAAGATCAAGAGCAAGGAAAGCGTGTTAGGATGTACAGATCGCTGAAGAGAACAAGCCAATAATCGTGGAAAAACTGTCGCACTCACCGACCTCAACTGCAAAGCTTGTCTAATCTGCGTGCTCGTAAGCTAGAAGAAGATTCCACAAGGTGAAAGGTGAGATGCAAGAGGACGGCATTTGAAACTTACTCCCAAAGGAGTCCTCAAAACCCATTTCATCCAGAGCACCAGTCAAAGATTCTAGGCCAAGCATGGAAGATGGCAATAGACCTGGGGGCCGCTGGAACCTGAAAAATATGACATCACGTGACGAACAATAAAAATGGAAAGTGTCTTAGAATTTGCAGTGCGTCGACAGCCTCCCTAGCTAAAGTAAACAAAGCATAAAAATTGCGCATAGCCAACATCAGATTAGGGCAAAGAAGTTCATACTTCGATAATATTTGTTGCTCCATCTGCATCTGAAAGGGAAGAGCTGTTCCATACGCCTTCTCCATCAGGAAGCGCTTCGTGTTCGCTTGATACTTTTCGTTCTTCACAATCCGAACATTGTGAACTGTCAGATTTATTAGACATTGTAACATGTCTCCCCTCCTTTGAGTGGATTCAAATTACGACAATTAAAGAACTCACGGGAATTAAATATTTTCTACAGCACTCACTTCCAATGCCGAGAAAAAAATTTGAAGGATTATTTATGTGGACCATGAGAAAATTTATGGCTAAAACCAATAAAAATAAATCTCTTCAAAATACAAAAAAAACTCGCGGAAAATTGAAAAATGACACTGGAAAGACTCATCCAAAAATCAATGGGAGAAACCACGTGCCCGACACATTGATGGGGTACCATTTATGGATCCCATAAACTCTTCTCTGACAACCTGTAAGCCCTGCTGTGGGACTGACGCAAGGGTTACAGGTGTGTTTTAAAATCCTCCAATAGATCTATCTTGGCATGTCATCGTAATAATAAGGTAAAATCAGACATGACAGGAGAGAGATTTTGGCTTTCCACATCAGATGGGATCTGACACAACGCCAGCACGTTCACTAAACGATGAGAAAATATATTCATCGTTCCTCAAGGATGAGAAGATTGTATGTTCTGCTCATTAAAGTCCTGGAAGCCAGCTACATATATCGTAGTAACATCATCCAAGTGACAACTCTAACTATGGGAGACACCCTCAATACAGAAACCTATGCACCCTGGTCTCCACTGCTGAAGCGGATTATGTCTCGGGGGTTTTCACTTCTCGTTTCAGTAATAATGATGGTGACTGGTATCGTTGATGGCCAATGGATGCATTTCTTGCGTCTGGACGAGCACTTCCTTTCTGTTCATTGTGTCCCAGAAGAGTCATATCGACAGCTGGACACTCACTTCTGTAATCCACAGTTCTTATATTCTTTGGTTTATCTCGATGTTGGCATTCATGTTATTCTAGTCAATTGCCTTCGTTCCGGCTCTTTCCATTCTATATCACTTGATTGGCACCCTAGAGACGTGACACCTAGGTTTGAGATTATTTGGCCCTCATGCAGGTTAGATGTCTGCTGTTGTTCATCATGTACTATGTTTCTAGCAGTTTGAACTGTCTCAAAGAGAAGCCCTAAATTCAGGAATCAACGGTCACTAACTCAAAATTTTACATATACTTCCTTCTTTCACCCTACTGTCTAAAGTTATAGGAAAACCTGTACACTATTGACGATTGTTCGCTACCGGTACCTAAGTCATGCTGATCCGTCCTCTTCTTTAGCATCGCCATTCACTGCCCTTGTCAATTAAAAAATAACAATTTCTTTGAAGAATAATAAGTAGATCAAAGGAGATAATAACCACAAGCACCTTGCATCTTTAGTAACAGAAAAAGAGACAAATTAAGCTTCACTACATTCATCCATGTCCAGCTCACTGTTACCATGAACAGTCTAGACTGGAATCAACCTCCAGCTTCGCAGAGATTACAAATAGTACACCCAGTAGCAGAGAAGGTGGGAACAGCATGGGAACAGCAGATACACAGATAAGAGACATAACTTAGATGAGACACCAGATTTATACGTAGGTTTCGGAGAACAAATGAGCTCCATGCCTTCCTCGTCAGTACATAATCAAGACAATCTAGGCACATTAGATGCCTAAACTCAACCTCCTACTTTAGGGTTAGACTGATGAGTCGCTGTTATGATCAACACCAGATGCAGCTGCCCCAATTTTGCACTCACAACTCAGTTATTCACGTCCTAACTAAAAAACTGTGAAAAAAAACACAACGAAAGCGCAGCGACATACCGATTCCTGAATTACTTGTGCTGGATGAGCGGGTAACGCGTCGGATTTGAAAGTCGGTAGACCAAACCGCAAGGTATCATGAACTCCGAGAACATTATGAGGTAGAGATGGTCCAGCCTCCTGTGACGCAATACCAACAAAATCCTGAGTACTTCCTTCCACACGCAACAATCGTACAAAATGCATTTTCAGTGCACATACATCGCTCAAGATCAAGTGCAGTCAGGCAGGCAGACGAAATTTTCATACCATATTGTCAATACGGGCCTTGCGCAATCACTCGCTCGAATCTCTGACAAAATTGTTGCACGAGAGAGTGCGTGAATGTATCAACTCCGATCACCCGCCCTGGCGCAAGGAAGCACAACTGTGCAAGCAAAGGCAACAAAAGGTCTCTTCGCCCGCTTCTTCGACAGCTTTGGACCGGCTCTTTGGGGCTCCGCCTGACGAGCGACCGGCCCGGCCCGTGATCGTGATCTCGACCCTTCCCGCCCAAGCTGGGAGTGTTCCGGTCTTTCCTGGAAATCCGGCGAGAGCCGCAATTGTTCCCGGCTAATAAGCTTGTCCACTACTCGGTATTACAGACGTCCGGTTTTTTTTTCTACGACAGAAATGAGTGGGTTATGTTTCATTTATTCATTATGTTAGATTTCATTTGTGGCCAGTTTGGTTACGGTAGTGAATGACACACTAAGTCACAAGCAAGTTTATATCTGTGAACAATTTTTTCGAAATAAACTTGGTTCGTCATTAAATACGTGTGCAGGCTGACTACCGCGATAACACATGGCATTTTTTTTGTCTCTAGCTTTGAGTAAGGTCCAAGAAATCTAAGGTACGACTATCCATGTAGTGAATCACATTTCTCATGGTAAACCCGCTTTATTGCTTCTAAGTCCTGAGAAGTGGTTGGAATTGAGTCTACGCCAATAAGAGTATAGTGCCAGTTGCTTGTGGAAAATTTCATTCATATATCGTGAGGTTGATTCGTACTTCTTTGCTACATATTGTGTCAAATAAATACATGTAAGACATGCACATTTGAGAGTTTTGTTGATATTCTTGAGATAAATCGAGACTTGAGAGTGAAAATATATCTCAATTTGAACCCAACATTTGCAGATTCCAGAGCATATATAAAATTATAGGTTATCCACATGTGTAATTGAAATATCGCCGTGTTTGTTTCATCGCCTCTCTTTAACATACCTCTACGTAGAATTTTTCCCAAAAATTAGTCTCAAGCTAGTTTGCTATGAATTTTACTGTGAGCTTTTGGATGTATATGTGTGCTATAAATTGTTATTAGTCCTAATTAAGAACTCAAACAATTTAGACATCAGTTTGATCCAAACAGAGAATGATGTATTTTAAATATTATCAAATTTGTACTAACAAAATTTATGTGACTAAATATTTTACAATTCTGATAATATTTTCATAAAAAAATTTCTTAAATTTTGTAAATATGATATAATATTAAAATATAATATAAAATATAAAATATTTTTATAACATAAAATTTTGAATGAAAAATCCAGAAAGTCTAAACACATTCACACAACAACAAAAAAAGATTTCATATGTGCTTCAACTCTAAAAGCCTTATGTTCACAAGAACACAACTATTTATCTACAAAAAATCCTTAGTTTGTGACATAGAGAGCTTTTATCACCTCTCATACTAACTAATTTAACTAACTAGGATTAGCCTAAAAAGAGATCATCAATATTTGCGTTAACTCCTAACATTGCACTTTTGTTACATGCTTTGGAATCTAAAACTTTACAACCTTCATGATTTTTTTCATATGAGTTTTAAATGAAATTTTTTATTTAAAATACTCAGTAAAATCGGTTCATCTATGACTAAATTTCAGCCAAAATATGATAGAAAAAATTCATAATAATAATATTAATGCAAATAAGTTTAAATTCTTATACATTTACAAAAGTTCAAAATAGCACAATTTCTCTTAAAACTCTTCAAAAACATAACTTTGATCAATATATTGGTGGAATTGAGGTTAATGTTGATTATTTCAATATTCTTATACAAACATTACATGCTTGAAAAATTAATATTAATCTTTATTGTGCTTCATACTATTATAAGTAACTTGTTTTGCTACAAATTGTATAGCAACTTGACTATCACAATGAGTATTGATAACATGTTGTTTCATTTCATCCTAATGATAAATCTATTCAAGAAAATTTTTTATTATTTTTTATTATTTTTTGTCACATATTTAAATTATGTTATTCACTGAGCTATGCATTTTCATAAATATTTTTGCAACTGATACATTCATCATCAATTGTAAACACATATTCAATAATGGATCTTCCGTCGTTAAAATTTTATCTATAATCAGTATTTTAGTATTTGAACAAAGATTTGATATAATTAAATGAAAAAATGATCATATATTAAGTGTTTTGGATTTATTTGAAAGTACATTTTACAACTTTCCAATGCATCTTTATTAAATGGAATATGGAACTAAAGTACATAATATCAACTATATGTAGCTATACACTTATTTTTCATATAAAATTATTTTAAAAAAATTAATAAGGTCTATCAGACTTGAGTTTAAAAGTAACAAATACTTTGGAATCTTTCAGGTCTACCTTGTCCAACATGTTGTATGTATTTGTCTTGCCTTGATTTGGTTTCTCTTCAAATTCATATGAACATGCTACTTGATATATTTTTCAATTCATCCAGTTTTTCATTTTGGATTCAGTTGATTTTTGCCAAAATTTTAATCTTTTTCCAAAATGGATATATCATTCACAGAAAATTCTAAATTAATGAAATTAAAAATCTTATTATTTACCTTTTTCATATATTCACAGTCATATATACTCATCAAACTATCAAATATTTATTATCTTATTCATTCGTCGATGAAATATAGACATCTACAAATCAACTTACTTTGAATTTTTTTTTCCTAATTCACTTTATTGTCTTATTTAGATTATTTCTCCATAAAACAATTTAAAAAAAATCCAATAACATCTGTCCAGTCTATAACTACATTATAAACTTATTATAAAAAATGCATATTTTAATCAATTATAGTTATTTTTGCTACATAAAAAATATTTCATTGTTATTCACATTCTTTTCATGTAAAATTTTTTCCATCAACTTGATTTGAAAATTTGATTTCTTATATCTTTGGGATTGTCTTTTGGCTTATACATTCATTTAAATCAGTCAAAGATTGATTTTTTAAAAGATTTAAAGTATTCACATTATATATTTCATTAACGCATGAATTTTACGCTCCTTGAATATATTACATTCAAACTTATTTGTAAAATTATGAATAATTTATTAAAATAAAATAAAATACCTTTTAAAAAAATTAACACATAATCATTATCATCAGAAGTACTAATATCATAATTTTCAAAGAGGACTGAATCAAATTATTGTTCATATCTTGCATGAGTTTCACCAATTTAATTGAATGATCTTATATTATACAATTTTGGTTTATTTCTATTGATAAATGTGTCTCATAATTGGTTAATTGATATTTCAATTACAACTTTTCTGACAATATTTTGATTTGTGTTGAGGATTTTTTTATGTTATATCTAAATTCTTAGTGATCATTGTCATGTAGTTACGAGTCGGCTCACGCAGTTTAGACACTTACTATATTTAGACGTGAAGTTAGGGTTCGGGTCACGAGGGGTATACAGTCGGGGACGGCTCGAAGAACGTTAGTTCTTCGAGTCGAGCCTGGAAGCGTTGGGAGCGTAGAGTGACTTTCCCTTTTGCGTCGACCTGGATTCTCCGAGTGTGGAGTGGGTTGGGCTTGACTCATGTTTGTGACGGTGACGGTTTGTTGCCAGTAGGGTAATTGACCGACGGGAATTCCAGTGGGGAATCTCCCGTCTATTTCACTCGAAGAACTCCCATTTGCCGAAATCGTGACAGTTTACGGTTTCTACGTGTAGTTTCGGTGTTTTTCTTGAGCCTGCGATTGAATTCATTCGGAGTGGTTTTGAACAGTAGGTCTTGCCGAAGAAGAAGTTCGAATGATTTTCGCAGTCAAAGTTTGAGTCGAAGGTTCGAGATTCTTTTGCGTTTGTGATAGGGTTGACGGGTTTTTATGATTGAGAAATTGTTCGAAATCGAAGCTGCAAATCGTCGGTCTGGCAGCAAAGAGTGGAATCACATGCAGAGAAGGTGATGCGGTCGAAGTCCTCCGCCGAGTTGTTATTGAATTCAGCAGCTTCGAACATTCGCGGAGACGTATTTAGATGGGAGAGGTAGAAATCCCGAGGACTCCTTAATTCTGCCGACAGGAAGTTCGTGTTCGAAAAGGTCGAACTGGTGCGGAGATCTCAAGGAGATGTATTGGCACGGGTCTCGTACAAATTAGAAACCTGAGATCAGCTTGGACGCCGGAAGTGGTCCTTAAGGTTTGAATCCTGCTCGGAAATTGTGTGAATTGGGCGTGCAAAGACGGCAACGGTGATCTTTCAGGGTGACAGTGGAGGAGGGCTTGAGGTTTAGGGATTTGGCGAGAGCGCGAGGGGAAGGCGAATGCTCGCTCGGGTGTGCAGTCTATGCAATTTTGGCTCTCCTGTTTACATTCTGCCAAATCAGCGACCTACAGCATCATAACGGCTGGGCTCCCCTGATCCTTTGGGCCCCAGATTCGGTCCGATTTGTGCACGCAGCGTGGAGTTCGCCTGGGGAGATTGTGATTTAAGCCCGAGGCGGGAGCAGTTTTGGAGCTACAAGGCGTCTTTGAAGTCTGGAAGTCGAGGTCGAGGTCTGTCGCTCGAGTTTCAAATTCTAGGGGATCGTGAACGAGAGAAGCACGGCTGTGTAACCTCTGTGATAAAGTCGAAGCTCGCGCTACTTCGTTTTGCGGTTTCGGGTTTTCGTTCGGTCCTGGGCCTCTATCGCTTCCGTTTCAATCCGAGAGTGTTTCGGTTCTGCGAAATTGCTCTCTGAAGTGCTCTGCGGTTCTATCGAGCTGCTTGCCTGTTCCCATCCTGCATTGTGTGCAGTGTACTGCCCTAATTGCTGTACCACCCGATTGCTGTGTCGCTCTCCTCGACGGTGCTTTGGCCCATCGTTTGCATCCGAACCTTGTTCATAGGTCCCTGTGTCGTTCTGTGTGTGTTTGTTCGGTGAACTTTCGGAGGAGCCTCTGAGTTCCTGAAGTCAAGCAGTTCACAGCACTACGGACGAGATTGAGTCCACTGTTGAGAAGCAAGTCCGTGGAGATGAACAATTACGAACAGGAATTCAAATCAGGAGGCAGCTGAAGATCGATCTCTGAGGAGATATTGGAGACTCAAAAGAGACTTCCGATAACGCTTCACTTCCCGATAACGCT